GGATGTGAGATCTACAAAAGCCACAAAAAGTTTGCTCTTATGTACCTTTGTATACTTATCTATCATTGTCTGTAGTACCAAACAATGGCCTATTGTACTGTGGCCCTTTCTAAACCCTGCCTGTTCCGGATTGAGCAGGTTAGAGTGGTCAGCCCAGTCAACCAGTTTATTTAGCAGGTAGCGAGTATAAAGTTTATACACAATGTCCAGGAGACTTATGGGGCGATAGTTTGAGGGGTCTTGGGGGTCTCCCTTCTTATAGATGGGGGCTACCAGGCTCAGTTTCCAGTTTTCTGGGATTTTGCATATATCATTTATTACCGTAAAAAGTTGGGCCAAAATAGCAGCCCACCACTGGGCATTTAGTTTAAACACCTCAGGAGGAATCATATCCTCACCGGGAGCTTTGCCATTCTTAAGTGTTTTAATTAGCTGTAAACATTCTGATTCGGTAACAGGATCCCAGCCCATTAATAGATCGTTTTTAAGAGGAGGAAACTGGCTCGGTTTAGCAATGTTTGGAGCTGTATATAGCCGGGAAAAATGTTGGTGCCATAAGTTAGATGAAATACTGTTGATTACAATTTTCCCTTTGGGTGAAACTCCCTGGGCAATTATTTCCCAGAACTTTTTGTCGTCCCGCAATTTGATCGCTTTGTCAAGTGCCTCCCATTGTTCCTTTCTGTAGAGGGATTTCTTAAATTTTAGAGTATTTTTATAGTGAGAACGCCACCTGTGCAGGTTTTCCAATGAGGACAGGGTCCCTTCCTGTTTTACCTTATTTTGTAATTTCCTAAGCAAAGATCTTAGATTCCTACAGTCTTTGTCGAACCAGGCCCTCGAGTTGTTTTGTTTTTTGGGAGGGTTGGAATTCGTGAGTAGTGGGAAGAGCGACTCTGAGACCTGCTGAAATGTTGAAAAGGGGTCAGAAATAGATGAGATACACTGGTCTCTCAAGGCCAGTAAGTCTGATGAATGCAGGTGTAGTTTGATTTTAGATTCCAAGTCGCTGTTCCATTTACGCCTACGAAGGGCCAGAGTTGGAGGTGGGTCTGCACAGTGATTGCGGTATTGCGGATCCTCCACACCACGGGGAATTAGTGAGATTGATATAGGAAGATGATCACTCTCAATTCTATTGAAAGTCCTGAAGCCCTGTGACCTCTCCAAAAGTTTTGGGGAGACCAGGATATGATCAATAACGCTCGCACCTCTAGGTCCAAGAAAAGAAAAGAAACCCCCTGACCTGTCCATATGGGTACCATGCAAATTATACAAATTATGTTTGAAGGCAGTCTCCATTAATGTGATGCCTGCCTTATTCAAGACCTTATCGTCAGAGGACCAGGGAATAAACCAATCTGCCTCTGGCAGGAACTGGGATTTAGAGCAGTACGTATTAATGTCATTTCCTATCCTGGCGTTGAAATCACCTGCCAGCAGGATATCCATGCCAGGGAATTCTAGTTCAGCCTTCTCCAAACATAGCTCTAAATCTTCCCAGAATTGTGACAACTGGGGAGGGGTGCCTATGGGAGGGATATATATATTGAAGCAAAGGAAATCTCCTCCTTCACTGCTAGAAATAAGTGTGATTTGTAAATTGTTACTCTTCACCCACTGCTGTTGCCGGGCCTTGCACTTTAGCTTGGTAGAAACAAAAGTGACTAAACCACCACTGGGTCGACCTCGGGATTTTGGTTTTGTCGCAGGGGTAGCAAAGGCTTCATATCCCTGTAAAGAGGGGACATGGAGATCTAGACACCATGTCTCCTGTAGACATAAAATCTGAAATTTTGTAAGAAAATCCAGAAGGTCGACGTCACCCTGCTTAGATAGCCATCCCGCCACATTCCAGGATAGAATGTGGAAATAGGGTGATGGTGGAAATAGTGGCAGTCAATCTCTTTTCCGGTGGTTTGAGGCTCCTGAGCTGGGCTCCTCCTCTATCTGCCCTGCTTGATGGTTCCGGGTTTGAGGTCGCTGGTCCCTAGATAGGTGTAATAGCTTTAACTGGGGGGCCAATAGGTTGATTTGGCCCAGAGGATCTTCGATGACACCGTTACAAATATCATGTTGTTCAGCTGGTGTATCATGATGTTCAGCTGGTTTTCGCAGAGCAAGGATTTTGCCGACCCGTATAGGCTGTACAGGTAGCAGGTCGACAGCTGCATCTTGCGTCGGTACTGCTAGCGGGTCAAAATTTGACAAAAGCTGTGGATCTTGATTGCGTATTGGGCTTAGAATAATGGAAGCCTCCAATTCCGGCATCGAGGCATATGAGGACGAGAGCATTTCAGACTGGTCTTGCTTGGGTAGTCCAATGCCAGGCTCGTTGCACGTAGAGACCAGGGTACCAAGCGGGGGATGTAGGAAATCAATTAAGTCCTTTGCGGGCAGGCTTGCCACTCCCTGTGGGGTAATAGATCCCGGCTCCATTCCCCCGTCTATTTGTTCTTTATGGCGCACAGGCCCAGCATCAACACCGACAGCACCTATCCTGGTGCATAGCGGTGTACGAGTCAGATTGGTGAATACCCTTGTAAAATAGATGTACCATTTTCTTGTGCGGTTTCTTAATTTTAGAATCTTTGCAACGAAATGGGCAGATCTAAAGTTAATAACCAAACGTCTCATATAAGGTCCAGAAGGCAGCCATGAGATGTCCACGATATCTACGGGGCGTAATGTCTGCCCCAGCAGTTGGGTCAGAGAATTTGTGACCGAGTGTTTATCCGCCCATTTGTTATAATTCAAGGGGTGGTTTCCCACCAGTACTGCAAGTTTGCTGTTCTGGAGTTGCAGACTTGAGTTTTGTACTTGGTTGGGCAGGCATCTCACTTGTTTTTGTGCAAGGTTGGCCTGCACACTTGGGCAGGGGTGAGCGGAGTTTGCAATATTGTTAAGCTGAGGAAGTGAGGGGGGGCAACTGAACAAGCCAAAAACTTTTTCAAGCTTCTTTTCGATCCCATCCAGCCTTTTATATAAGTTGGTGATGGTATGTGTTATCAACTCAGTCTGGCAGATTAGCAGTTCCAGTGCCTCTCGGTCCTTGTTTAACTGGGCTGGTGACTGGAATAATTCAGGTGAGGTTTTAAAAACTCCCAAATACATACCATAATAACAAACAAAAACAATACCCCACACACTTCTAATGTAGCTTAAAAGTATATGCCCAGCCCCACCTAATGCCCCAAAAGGTATATGAGGTAACAGAACTAACTCACCGGCATAGTTAGTATAAATGCTTATCTGCCATCAACTAAAAGGAGAGAAACCTTGTAATAGAATTTTCCCCAATTCACAAATATTTTATTTTTCTGCTCTAAGAACTTTAAGAGAAGCCTCCCTATGGTGGCAAAGTTAATAAGAATAGTGCCCCCTGCTGCAGTTTCAAGCTTAGTATTGAATATGACCCAGTGGACTTGGACAAACAAATAGAGTCTATGTTCTCAATTTATCTGTGATTCTGCCTGGTCTTTCAAAGATCAATAACTGCAGCCGCAATCTCTGCACTAGTGTTCAGTGGTCTTGAACCTAAAAAGTTCTAAATACTTTGCACTCTCCATGCATGGTGATCCAAACTTCTCCCCATATGTGCCATACCAATGTTATGAGATCTGAAGCATGCCATCTTGAATGAACAGCCATGCACCAATTACTAACAGTGTACACACAGAGGGGCACGCTCAGTGACCACTCCATAGCTTCCATCATTTAGAATCTTTTCCAACACTTAGTATTTTCTGGAAGTGCCATAAGACTTCCTTGTTTGAACTTGCAGTTTTACAGCCAAGGTTAAGCAGACATAGTGATATTTTAATCCATATTTAAATATGTACCATTTATAGCTGGTATAATTTTAATTGCATTTTATTATATGCCCCTGAGCTACAGCGCTTGGGTGGAACAGAAGCTAGAATAAATCATATAATTTATATAACTGTAGCAAGACAGTTGACCCGGGAACATTTTAACATATACCCAGGAACATTTTAACATATACCCAGGAACATTTTATCATCTGAAGTTTAACATATACAGTAACATTTTAATTAGATTCTAATGATGGTAAGCTACAGCACAGATCAAACAGGGGGAAAGTAGCTTTAAGGCCATACATGGAGGAGGGAAAACCCCAAAAGGAGCAACACTGTGAAGTGCAGGAAAATACGAAAGATCCAGCATATGGAACTACAAAATGAAAATCTTAAACACCCACCCCCACAAAAAACCCTTGCATTCTGCATTTCCCTTGCATCAGGGAAGGGACAGGAGGCTCAACATAACTGAAAATGCCTTAAAAATTCAAAGGTCTGCATCTGTATTGAAATAAATTTTAAGTGATTTTATAGATGGAACTATTTTTAAAATGCTTGCATTGTTTTTATATAAGCAACTTTTTATTTGTTTTTGCACTTTCTCGTTTTATTATTGTAACTGTTTTGTTTTTATAACTGTACATTTTATCGTTACAATGCATCCTGGGATCTTATAGTAAAGAGTAGGTAAGAAATCTAATAAATAAATAATCTCTTTCTTTTCTGGCAAATGTCCATGTTTTTATTGATAGTTGGATATCACCCTAAGTCATAGCATAATTCCACTGACTAGTACACTAACTTCAGTGGGTCTACCTCTGTGTATGATTAGTACTAGATATCACCCTGTCTTTAACCTCTGCTGAAGGGAGATATACACATTTCAATAAAATAAATGAACAATAGTGTTTTTCCACATTATCGATTTTTCCATGCAATATTTCTTTGAGTATGTTATGTTTACACAGAAAAGCAACCAATACATTTCCAAATACACACAGATACATTACCTCCTGAGTCATTGTCTTCAACTGTTTGTGAGATGGGTCTTTATCCATCAGAAATAACATCATTAGCTCCTACTATGTGAAGAGAGATAATTCCTGGCAATTTCATAGGACAATGTACTTAAGATACTTGAGGTGGTCTTTTTTTTTTTTTTTTTGGTTTTTTGTTTTTAAAAAGGTTAAATGTCCCGTGGCTTCCATCTTTAAAAGGAAGGTAAAGAGGGTGATGGGGCTGTTGGAGGTACCATTGCTAGTGTTGGGAGTTGGAAGCAGTCCCCAAATGGCAGTACTTTGTGGTGATTGATGAGGGCTATGGAAGCTTCATGGAGGCCATGGAGGCCACGAAAATGCGAGCAACAGCTGACATTTCTGAAACAGAATTATCACTATTGTATAAGAAAAACATCTCTGTGAAATATCTTGTTGGGAGACATGATGCACTTTTACCTGGAACAACATGGACTGGCTTTTAAAAGACAGCCGCAGGATCCCAATGAAGGCTCAGACATTTATTTTCAAGCAAGCACCGGACGTCAGTCCTATTTATAACACTTCTGAAAATATTTGTCATATTTTCAGTGCTACAGCTCTTCAGATGGAGTAAAATAGAAAGCAACAGAAATACAGTATTAATAGTGTTTATCTTGTGTGCTGTGAATATTTGGTAAAGTTCATGGGGAGTTTTACAAAGTGAATTCATGTAGTACAGTCCTTTGCAACTAATTTGAAAACGGTATCTGTGATGTATCACAGAAAAAAACAGAGTCCTGTAACATCCTTATACCCCAATGTATATGTGGACACAGGTGCAGTGAAATCAGTGAAGCCATGAGTGGGGGAGCAAGTGTTGGATTAAAGATTAGTTTGCAACTTTACAGAACTGGTGTGGTGCAGGCATTGTTCAACCTGCCCAGCTACCAGTTGTTATGTTGTCCATAGACTGATGCTGTTGGTTCAGCATAGACAACTTCTGCTGAACCTCATTCAGCCAGTGGGAGATAACAGTGCCCCCAGCTCCCAGCCCCTCTAGACGGTCCAGAAGGATGTTATGGTCGATGGTATCAAAAGCCGCTGAGAGATCCAGCAGAACTAGGAAACAGCTCTCACCTTTGTCCCTAGCCTGCCAAAGATCATCGACCAGTGTGACCAAGGCAGTCGGTCTGAATCCCGACTGGAAGGGATCCAAATGGTCCACTTCTTCCAGGCGTGCCTGGAGTTGTTCAGCAACCACTCGCTCAATCACCTTGCCCAAGAATGGAAGATTTGAGACTGGGCGATAGTTGGCCATATTGGCCGCATCTAAAGATGGTTTTTTAAGAAGCAGTTTGATAACCGCCTCTTTCAGCGGGTCTAGGAAGGCTCCCTCACAGAGAGAAGCATTCACCACCCCGCGGAACCCATCACCCAGCCCTTCCCTGCTAGCTTTTATAAGCCAGGATGGGCAAGGATCAAGGAGACAGGTGGTTGGTTTCACTCGTCCAAGCAGCCTGTCCACATCCTCAGAGGTAACAGATTGGAATTGATCCCACGCAACTGTACTAGACAGGACTCTAGCACTCTCCTGCCCCGGCCCTGCTCCCATGGTGGAGTCTATCTCTTCCCAAATCTGAGTGACTTTATCTGCAAAAAAAACTTTGCAAAATCATTGCAGGAGATCATGTGGCCTGTACTGAGCCCCGATGGAGCAGAAAGAAATAAAAAAATCTGACACTTTTCTTTTCACATGATTTGAGGACCCTTAGCCTCTACTCTAGATCTACATTAGGCCAGGAAAACAGAATTATCTGTTAAGTGAAGAATATCAATAAGACTGATTTTTATTTATCAAAATGTTAGCATTCAGACTTACAATGCATGATTTAACCATCCAAATAAGAAAGGGAAAGCGATGTGAGATTACTTCCAGAATTGGTGGTATTAGCATATTCACAATAGATGAGGAGTTGCAATTTCTCAAGGATTCACACAGTAATCCAGCACATCTTGGATATTTAAAAAATGAGGATTGTCTGCAGGTAGACTGTGAACTCCACACTCAGTTGTTCCAGAACCACTGATATGCCTGCCTTCTCTCACCACATTGCAGCCCTGTAGTCTATTATATTAATAGCACCATGGGCACATTTTAAAGGGTCAGACATTCATACAGAATGGAGGTAAATTTATGCTTCTTTCTGTTACTTTTACAACCCCCTCTTTACCACTTGGTGGTAATCCTTTATTTATCACCTATCCTTTATTTATAAATTTGCTTTATCATTAAATCTCAGTGGTGTCTGGCACCCTTAAAAAAAATCTCTTACAAATCAGTTTTAAGAAACAAGCCTACAAGTCCCCCCCTTCCTAGTTTTCCCTCCTGAATGCCCACTCTGCCCTTCTTTCTTCAAGTCCTGCTCAGAACCACATTGGTTTTGAACTTATGCTTAAGAGCCTGAAATAGGAGCCTCAAAACTGACTTGAAAAATTATGGAAGTAGGTCAGTCATTGCAGCTTTGTGTCCCTGAAGGAACAAGTATGGTTGGGGGCTCTTCCTGTTAATCGCTCCAATACTTCTCCAAAACATTCAGTGGAAAGCAGATTCTAATTAATGCAAATACACACCAGCAAGGAGTTGGACCCAAATGAGTCTTTTCCAACACTGATTTCCATGGCTCCAGCTAAGGTTTATACAGCAGATGTTTCCATGGCTCCCTAAGCAACCGGCACTAGCTGCAAAGGCACTTTTGATATAACAGTGACTTCCTTCACTCTCCCCGCCCCCAAGCACATACCTCAATCCCTGATTAGCAGCATAGGCACCAAAATGGCGCCTCTCTGGGGAACTTGAATCCAGAGATGGAAAAAATACAAGCTGAAGGGAGTGGAAAGGCAGGCAGTTCCCAAGCAGTGGTCTAATCCCCACAAAGCCACTGCCTGAGGATGGAAATCCCATGACATTACAGCACTCTGGTCTGCCACAAAGCATTTGTCTCTCTTCAAAGCCTCCTCAGAAAATCGAAGGCTTTACAAGTCATCCTCAGCTGCAGTTGTCAGCTGTATCGGAATTTCCAGATTGCCACCAGCCTATTCTCGACAGCTTTACTGTTGCCGCTTTACAGGCCAAAGTCACTTGGAGCAAAGCCCAATAGCCTTCTCATTTACATCAGCTTACCCAAGTGAAATGGCCACTGGCTTGTAAGGCAAAGACCTGAATTTGCTGCATTCGCCCAAGGGGAAATCCAGAGACCGATAAGCTGAAGTTCAGCAGTGGAATGGGACCAATCCAGCTGTCGTAGATTTGAACTGGAGATATGAGAGGGTGACTACAAGCTTTTGGGACCAGATAAAAAGGAAGAGCAGGAAGGGGATCCAGAACATCAAGGTGGCAGGTGTTTGCTGACAGAGATGGACTGTAGCTCCATGCTGAGGTGCAGGGCTGGGACAGACCCACATTTCTGCCATATATGTACCTATTTAGATTGGGTTCAGGCCTCCAAGACTAGACTGAATCCCAGCAACGAGGCATACCTGCAAATTTTGTCTAGAAGAAGAAAAAGATCTTAAACATCATGCTTCATCTGCTGATGTGTAAAATGTGTCCTTAATTTATTTGAATAACAGAAAGCAGTAACCTCATATCAGCAATGAAGAGAATTCTCAAAAGCCTCTTAAAAGTGGCGCCACACATACTACAAGCTGCCTTTTTCAAATTAGAAATGTCTTTTCCAGTTAACTAGTGAGCTGGTGAAGAGAGAGGGGGAGGAGGGATGCGTCGGAGCAAAGCACAGCAACTCGTAAGCACACCCACTCCACCTAGAGGGATTCCACACACAATTCTTTCCACGTTCCCTTGTTGCTGTATTCTCAGAGCATCCCAAATCAACAGCTTTATTATTCATTTGGATATGCCAGCTAAGTGCCAAAGCTAAGCATGTGAGCACAGGAGTCATAGCAGAGTCATTTCCCCTGAGAGGGCTATTCTAGCCCAATCAGGCATTTAGGGAGAGCCAGGTTCATCTGTTTTTTATCTCACCCCTCATGATAACTGTCACAAACAGTTTGCAGCCAGGGTAAAATATGCCTTTATGTGGCTCACAGTAGACACTCTTTTAGCACCATTTAAAAGGCAAGCTGTAGCAAAGTGTAGTGGGGACTGTCATTAACAGGGATAGACATACCATATGCATGTACTAGGCTGGCCTCCCTATTCTGCACAGCAGCCCAAATGGGGAGGAGAAGGCAACATTACACCACTTTTAGAAGACATCTGGGCAGCCCTGTATCAGGAGGTTTTTAATGCTTGATGTTTTTATTATGTCTTTAGATATGCTGTAAGCCACCCAGAGTGGCTGAGGAAACCCAGTCGGATGGGTGGAGTATAAATATTGTTTTTGTTTGTTTGTTTGTTGTAGTTGTTGTTAACATTATCCAAACACTGTGTGCTACAACTTCAGAAAATTTATGAGAATTTCAAGTATTAGCACTATGCATGTAATAAAATGTCCCTCCTCAACACTGCAATTCAGCCAAAGGACACAGCATAATAAAGAGTGGAAACTTAGTGGAGCTGCTCCAAGGGCACTGCACAGGGACTGAGTGGCCACAGAGCTGCTCCAAAAGGCACAAAGCCAGGATAGACCAAGTGCCTGACCAGTCAAGGCCTCAAGGAGCTGTGGACAGCTGCTTGGGAAAGGATGAGCTCTGTCAGCATGTGGTGTTTGGGGTCAGCCCAGAGCTCCTGGAGGTGGCATTCCAAGATGTGCAGAAATTCACACTGGTGACCCAAGAGAAGATCCCTTCAATGGCTAAGAGTGTGGACAGCTCCTCAGGAGAGGACAGAACAAGGGTTGGTGCTGGTAGCTCCATCTGCACCAGTGGTTAGTATAAGGGGGATGCCACCATCAGGGCACCAGAAAACAACGCAAGTTCATCTATTACTTTCATTCATTATTTTCATTCACCCTATAACCTCTGTGTTCTAAAAGAACATGGGCTAGAAAACTTAAAAGATGCTGCTTCAGAATGATTGTTTACTCTTACAGTTGTATCTTGGTTCTCAAGCAGAATGCATTCCGGGAGTCTGTTCGACTCCCAAAACCATTCAAAAACCAAGGCGCGGCTTCCAATTGGCTGCAGGAGCGTCTTGCAGCCAACCGGAAACCACGGAAGCCGCACCAGATGTTCAGCCTCCGTAAATCATTTGAAAACAGAACACTCACTTCCAGGTTTCAATTGTTTGGGAGCCAATTTGTTCGGGATCCAATGCGTTTGAGATCCAAGGTACAACTGTGTTTATTTAAAGCATTTTTACCCCAATTTTTAGCCAAAAAGGCTCCCAGAGTGGCTTACGTACAATCAAAAACAAAACTGTCTCTACCTGCAGACTTACAATATAAAGAAAAACACAAAACGCAAGGGAAAGGGGGCAGGGGAGGGAAGAGGAAAATAACAATCTAGTCTCAGGCACCTATAACAACCAGCTGGCACAGTAGAGGAGCAGGAGGTACCTGATGATGAGCTTCCTATCTCTTCCACTGATGCAGTATGGAATGGCTCCCCCCATATAACTCTTGCCTAGGATATGTCCATAGATACTATAATAAAGTGGGTGGACCCTATGAAACTTGTACCTTTATGGAAACCTGGGTCAAACTTCACACATGCCAGCACTAGCTCCAAGGAGAATGCAACTTTGGGAGTAACAGAAATGCTTGCACAACATTTTTAACTTAAGAGTGTTGTGAGAAGGTGGATAAGTGGTGAATGAACCACACCCTGATTAGTAAATAATTCCTTGATCTACAGGCATGTGTATGGCATCAAAACATAGCACATCGCCAGCTTGCAAAGGAACTGGATCGTACAATGTAGTGCAAAACAAAACATAATGAAACAAAGAGTGTGATTTGTAAACTCCAATAGAATGATTACATCAAATATGTATTTGAAAGGAATCCCTTTCAAAGAGTCCTATGAGAACTAGTTGCTGCACAAGAAATAAAGCTCGACAAATAGCAAAAGAAAAGGGGAAGAAAATGCAAAGTAATGCACTCAAGTTGAGCAGTGGGTTTTCATGTGGGAGTCCTAAACTGAAAACTTTGCTCAACTATCAAAACTAACTAGGTGATCTTAGAAAAATATTACTCCTTCAGGAAATTTGTTATGATGATAAAAGGGATAAAAGGCCATAAGTCCATGTGTGCTACCCTAAGCCCTTTGGAGATTCATATATTATGAATATGGCTAAATAAAACACATTCATGAGACTTAAGGCAGATATAAGTGGCAGCTTCCCAGGCTGTATGGTATAATTGCGTATATTTTTCCTTTGTGGCACTCTCATGCTCACTTGCAGAAAGCTGAATGGACTGCATTATCTATGGTTGTCATGGACAACCACACTTATAGACATGAACTAGTGCAGACTGAAGTACTCCACAGATAGCAGAGGAGGCTAACCTTTTTTGGCTCCCAGTATTGCATGTCAGCAGTAACCAAGTCCTGTGCACGTTTGCTCAAATGTGTGCATAGACACCACACTTGTGGGCTACAAAAGAATGCATACATAGCCACCCCACCCAGAGGTGTACCTAGGGTCCCTTGTGCCCTTGGCAAGGAGCTGTATCTGCAGCCCTGCAATAACCACATTATCTGCCTTCGAATTACTGCTAAAATGAAATTAAATATTATTCATTTAGTTGTGAATGCTTTAATTTCATTAATTAGATACCTCATGTAACATAGGTGTGTTAATAATTAAGTACATAAATCAATTATACACTACAGTGGTACCTCAGGTTAAGAACTTAATTTGTTCCGGAGGTCTGTTCTTAACCTGAAACTGTTCTTAACCTGAAGCACCACTTTAGCTAATGGGGCCTCCCGCTGCCGCTGCGCTGCTGCTGCGCTGCTGCTGCACAATTTCTGTTCTCATCCTGAAGCAAAGTTCTTAACCCGAGGTATTATTTCTGGGTTAGTGGAGTCTGTAACCTGAGGCATCTGTAACCTGAAGCGTATGTAACCTGAGGTACCACTGTATAAGCAGTAAACCAATATACATAAATCAGTTATATTTTGTTAGCTTGGGTCCAGCTTTCTGATCTGTTAAGGTTATTTTGAATTCTGATTCTGTCTTTTGCGGCATTAGCGATCCCTCTCAGTTTGGTGTTATCTGCAAATTTGATTAGCAGCCCCTCAATTCCTTCATCCAAGTCATTTATAAATATGTTGAACATCAACAGGCCCAGGACAGAACCCTGCAGCACCCCAATTGTCACTTTTTTCCAAGATGACAAAGAACCATTACTGAGTACTCTGTGGGTTTTCTCAGTCAGCCAGTTACAAATCCATCTAACAGTTATCCCACCCACTCCACATTTTACCAGCTTACTGAAATCAATATATACTATGTCCACAGCATTCCCCTGATCCACCAAGCTGAGAAACCCATGCTGGGTGTTAGTAATCACAGCATCCTTTTCTAAGTGCTCACAGACTGTTCTAGGACCTTTCCTGGTATTATGGTCAAGCTCACCACTCAGTAGTTACTGGGGTCTTCTTTTCCACTTTTTGATGATGGGGGCAACATTTGACTGCCTGCAGTTTCCAGTCTCCAAGAATTCTCAAACATTATAGACAGAGGTTCTGAGATTACATACACAAACTCCTTCAGTACCCTTGGGTGCAGCTCATTAGGCCCTGGAGAGTTGAATTCATTTAAAGTAGCAAGGTGTTTCGTTACCACCTCTTTTCCTATCTTGAGTTTCAGCTTCTTCCTTGCATTTTTTTATTCTTTTTATCACCAGGTTGGGCACAGCTTTCCTTTGGGGAGATAAAAAACTCAGAGATATTTAGGTGGTCTTCAGAGGCACATCTGTAGGACCTGAACCAATGGCTTCAAGTTACAAGACTAAAACATGAGGAAGAACTTTCTAAGTAAGAGTTGTTCAACAGTGAAATGGACTACGTTGGGAGGTTGTGAATTCTTCTTCCTTGGAGATTTTTAAGCAGAAGTTGGATGGCCATCTGTTATGGATGCTTTAGTTGAGATTTCTGCACTGCAAAGAATTGGCCTAGATGACCCTCAGGGTCTCTTCCAACTCTACAATTCTATGATTTGTATTACAACCACAAGCATATTTTTTTCTTTCAGATTTCTTCTCAAGGAACTGTTTTACCTCTTTGTTTGGGAGCAGCCAAATGTTAAGCCTTCCAGATAAAGATGTAGTAGTTTTTTTCTCTGTCTCCTTCCAGCTTTCTAAACACACTAGCCAATGACTCTCAGGTTGCCCCTCATGGGACATGGCCATTATGAGTCTGTTATTATAGCAGAGCACTCATGAGATGGAACCCTCCCCAAAAATGTCCTTTAAATGCAGTTACAGTGTAGAAGCCAAATAAAGGGAGGAAGATTGAGGTGGATCCCATGAAGTAACTCTTAAGAGGAGGGTCCCCTCTGGGTGGGAGCTTTGGAAGAGAACACAGGGGTCTTGGAGAAGAGCTTGTGCTCTCTAGGGTGAGAGATCACTCTGCTCCCTACTGCAGCAGAGTTGCTTCCCTGCTCCATACTTGCTGGGCCCCAGAGACAATACAAACCAGAACCCCCATATGTGTAAGGTCCTTTCTTTGTGGAGCTCCCTCTGGGGAGCTTTCCCCTGGAAATCCATTGGACACCATGATATAAACACACAGAGAGTAAAGGATTTGAAGTTTAAAATGCAAAATAACAGCACATCCTGCCCTTGAAGCTGTTTTGGAGTCAGAGTCCTAATTTTGGTTTTTAGCTGCCAGAACAAACTTTTGGATAAAACAGACAGATTCTTCTTAAGATTTACAGCCCCTTACTTTCCATAAGGTTCTCAGGGGTGCAGAGGTGGATTTAGGGCAGTGTGACAGGGTACAGCAGCCAATGAGGCACCTTCCCACCTCCTTCCCAAAGCCTAGTTAGCTCTTCCCAGCTTTGGGAAGGAAAGAGAGGGGCTCTAGGACCCTGACAGAGTCTTGCACCTCCCTCCAAAACCTAACACCTCACTAACCAGGCTTTGAGAAGTTGGCTTTGGGGTCAAGGGGAAGGGAGTATCAAATTTTGGCCTCACACAGGCCAAAGGCATGTTACCAATGTCTGCCCCTGAAAGGACTTCCAGGAATAAGTTTATTCCTGGAGTTTATTCACATGTGACACAATAATGGAGATTTTTGCGCCCCTTGGCTTGCACCCTTCTGGGCCTGCACTCCCAATTGGGGCCAGATTCACCAAACCCCTAGGTATACCTCTGACCCCACCCCACCCCCCTCTCTCTCTCTGAAAGACAAGAGTCAGTGTTTCCTCTCCTCCTCATCATAGCATTGCAATTGGTTTTAGGGGTGCCATCTCCTGCTCTTCAGCCGAAGATAGAAGAAGAATCCTTAACAAAGATTTTCAGAGCACAGCAGAAGTGTTTGTGAATAAGGAAGTGGCAAGTGGCTTTCTAGACATCATGCCATTGCCACTAATAATGGCTTCTTGGGTGATTTAAGCGTGCTTTGGGTCCCCTGGAAAACCCATGGAACTTAGTATGACAACAGGAAAGTTTTTAAAAGTAAAATAAAAAGTATACCACAACTGACAAATTTTAAGGGGCTCTGGGGGACACAAGGAACCATGTGTGTGGTTGCAAGTACAACCTTGGGAGACATGTGCTAGCCACCCTTGGAGTATGGAGCCATGTTTGAGCCACATAGCAGGGCCTTAATGAGTTGCTTCATATGAAGTCTTGGTAACTAAATCACTGCTGAACACATCCAACCACTCTGTATTTTCTCACCCACAGCCCTAGACTATGGACCTACATCTTCACTCTCCCCTGTCAATAGGCCGTTTGCTCTTCTGACCAACTACCCAGCTACTTTTGAATCATCTGGAAAACAGCCAGATTTTATAAGCAGCTGTCACATGAAAGTAAACATTTAAAACCATTACATTTTAACAGTTTATATTTAATGCTGCCTAGGTTTTTGACTTTACTCCATTATGATTCAGTTAAATAGTTTCCCTCTGGAGTTGGCATCTCCATCCCACTGCCTGGCATCCACTCCTGGCAGGCACGCACTGAACAATTTCCAGGGCTGTGATATCACCTCATCCTCCCATCCTGGACATAGTTATGAGGTCACCGCACAATAAGTAATGATACAAATATCAAGCAAGTTCTCAGGCAAGGAGATTTGGGAACGGTGTAGGAACAGGCTTAGCTTTTCAATAAAAGCTTTCCATGATGAGGGAGAAAAATCTTTCTCTACCCTAGATGCTTCAGGGTTGATCTAACATTTCACAGACATCTCATAGCTAAGTGAAATGAATTCAGTAAGAATTGCAAAGTCAGTACCTATACCATCAGTACGTTATAAATCACTTTAGAGAAAGAGTTAAATGTTCTAGGGTGAAGAAAGAGTTCTGTTCATAATGTAATCCAATCAATGAAGCTTAGTTCAAAATTTAGTGCCAAAACTTGACGAGCGTGCAAATCTGCAATCCAAGGGGGGCGGATATTAGTGGGAATACCAAGCAGCTTAGAGAAGAAAGATGGACATGAAATATAGACACCTGGCTACACCTTCAGCTCCCAGGTTGTGATCAGTCTTTGTAATTTGGGTCAGAAGATCTTTGTGTGTCTGGCTTTCTCTTCATGTGAATCTTTGCATGACTGTTTATCTGATTTCTTGCACTACTGAAATACAAATTACCACCATCACACCTGCTTTCCTGCTCAGGCAGTGACGTATACTAGGAGGATACAAAGTTTAACCCATGTGCCAAGCATGACAACATGAAATGGCATAAATGTTCCTTCCATCTCCATTTCCACCCAAGCCTCCGTCTTCTGTTCTAATGTGCTTACTTAAGTGGCCAGCCCACCTGCTCCAGCTGACAAAGGGAGAACAACATCTTACAGCTGCTGGACTGACTTCTTTTCTCCCAGTCTGCATTTACTAAGCATTATTGCATGCAGCAGCAATAGCAGGGTACTGGGGAAAATGATCCAAATATGCAGGTTTGTTTATAACTGAGAAAGAAGGAAGTAGGAAGTTCTGATAGCCTGATCCCCAATAGGCACAGTAACAGAGCCCAGTTTCATGTTGCTTATTAGCCATTTATCCCCACTATTTTATAAACATCAGCTAATTCAGACAGTGGGTGCACAAGCCAGTGTTAATCTGAGGCATAAAGCAATACATATTGGATGAGCTTAATCTGTTCTATTTTAATGGGGCTGGTTGGGTAGTGGAAGCAGAGTACCATCACACTGAAAACTCTACCAGCTGAAAGGGTGAAATATCTCTGCTTCTGTTTCTCAGGCTATAAATTTATGGGGCTGGAAATTTATGTGATTGTCACTTGTGGGCAAAACTAATTATCTGATTACTTCCCTTGATCCTTGTTTTCCATGCCCATCCCTTCTATTTTTAAAAGAGACCTTTAAAAATAAATGATAAAAAATTGCTCCATAATAACCCAATGAATTATGGCAATGTATGTAAGAGCTTTTCAACAGTGGAATAGACTCCTATGAGAGGTGCTGGACTCTCCTTCCTTAGAGGTTTTTGAGCAGAGGTTGGCTGGTCTCTGTCATCTATTATCTAGTTGAGATTTATGCATTGCAGGGGAGGGGGTTGGACAAGATGATCCTTGGGGTCCCTTCCAATTCAATGATTCTATGGGGGCAGATGGGGCTCATCAATCTGGGAAGCTCTGCTGCCTTGCGGCTATACAGGTCCGTTCTTAACCTGAAACTGTTCTTAACTAGAGGCGTGCTTTCACTAATGGGGCCTCTTGCTGCTGCTGCACCACTGGCACACGATTTCCGTTCTCATCCTGGGGCAAAGTTCTCAACTCGAGGTAACTCTTCCAGGTTAGCGGAGTTTGTAACCTGAAGCGTTTGTAACCTGAGGCATTTGTAACTCGAGGTACCACTGTACTCATCTGTGAGAAAGGCTTCAGGAGAAAACTTCGAGGAAAACTTTGTATGTGCTACCTTGTGGGACATCTTCAGGAGAATCATGGAATTGCAGAGCTAGAAGGACCCATGAGGGTCATCTAGTCCAACCCCCTCAAAAGGTTAAAGGGTAAACCCTACAGAAATTCGGAGTGGAGTGCATAAGACAGTTAGATGGTGTTTTGTACGCCTCCTTCCGTGCCACTCCTGAAGCCAAGCTGCTGCCAAATGTACTGCTCTGCTTTCCTTTGGACCACATCAGTGACACTGAGTGGGGGGGGTCGTCTTGTCATCTGGGCAGTGCATGACCTCCATACACACTGCCAAGGCTTGTGCCCCAGAGAGGTCACTTCCGTGCTGCTAACAGAATGACAACAATGTGGGAGACAGCCATGACACAGTGTCGTTCAGCCCAGACACAGAGATCCCCCGCAAGGGTCTTCTGCTGGTTCCCTCACTGCGAGAAGCGAAGTTACAGGGAACCAGGCAGAGGGCCTTCTTGGTTGTGACGCCCTCCCTTTAGATGTTAAGGAAATAAACAACTATTTAACTTTTAGAAGACATCTGAATACAGCCCTGTATCGGGAAGTTTTATATATGCTGTGAGCCACCCAGAGTGGCTAGGGAAACCCAGCCAGATGAGTGGGGTATAATAATAATAATAATAATAATAATAATAATAATAATAATAAAAAATACTATGATTCTCTGGCAGTTTGACTTAACCCCTGGACGTGCACTTCATTGTCTCCCAAGGCAGATGGATGCCAACAAC